ATATATATATATATACACACACACACACACACACACACACACATATATACATATATGTGTGTGTGTGTGTGTGTGTGTATATATATATATATATATATATATATGAAATTCTGTTTTGTATTGAAATTCAGTTCTTACCAGTGGCACATGCTGAGCGAGAAATGGGCTGGAGATGCAAACGATTGCGAGTCTTGAGAGAGTTGAGCAGATTTTTTGCAATCATGCCTGAATGAAATGGAAGGAAATTGATTAAATCAGAGAAATTCGGATGTCGTCTAAATCAGAATCAAATCACTAGTAGGTTAAGTGGAAAAGGTAGTTGTGATTTTTTACCCATGATCTCTAGAAAAGAACATATCATGGTTCACAGATGTAGCATAACCAAATAGCTATTAAAAATACTGAAACATTACATGTGAATTTTTTTTTTAACTTTGCATCTCAAAAGTTATGCGAGATTATTTTGCCGAGACCTTGCTCATTAAAAATATTTATCTGAAATGTTCTTATTTGTTGCAGTAATTATAAAATGATTATGAATTATTATAATAAAATAAAGATTTATTTATTTCTATGACCTCCAGTTCTCGTTCATTCCATTTTCCCCCCAAATGTTTTTCATGGCCAGGGCTTTACAATAACACCCGCCAAATGCGGGTAGATTTCAGCTTTGGCGGGTTAGACAGACACCTCCACTAGCCACTTTGGCAGGTTGAAAATAATTTTTAAATTGTGGTTTTCTTAAAAGCAGGGTTCGACTATAAGAATGACCCAATATGCGTGCAAATGTGATCTTAGAATAGAGAAACAGTACGACTAACAAAAAAATTGCATTCGCACGAGCAGAAGAAAGCAGATGAATACTGAATGAGAGGATAATCACTGGCCCTAAAAGCTGATGTTGCGCGCGACTGTTTAAAGCGCGTGCGCGCTCCTGTTTTGAAGCATGCGTGCCTGGAACGCAACTGTGATCGGATCTCTTTCAAATAGTCAGGCAAAAAAAGTAATGCTAATGCACACACAGTCTTGCTGCTTTCAAGAGCTCCAAATATGTCTTTTTGTAAGCAGCACCGGTTGCTTTCGCTTTGAACAGATGATTAATTGGTCTTAACCGTGTGATCATCCTTTCATTATCACACAGTATGTTTTTCACTTGCTTTCTTTTGCTTACAGTTATTTTTGTTTATATGGTTTAATTATCATTTTTTACAACAATATTGCTTTAATATGAGATGAACTCTGACCTTTAGCGAGGACAGATTACTGTGCATACTTTTGATAGGCTACATGGACAATAATAATTTTTTTAAAGTCAATTACTTTTCTTTTTTTTTTTTTTTTTAGAAATTTTTTGTTAAATAAAAAGTATAGTATACAGCGATATTTAGCTTGTTTAATTTTTAAAAATGACTTACCATTTTCATTACACCCTTCACCTGTTTCAAACATTTATGGTTTTTTTTTTCTTTTAAATGAACACAAAAAGAATATTATTTATTAACTCCTGTAGTATTAAAACAAGTGAAGTGTGAGTAAATAGTGAGTAAATTTGAATCTTTGAGTAAACTGTCCCTTTAAAGCCTGTGACTGTTTGAACATTCAATATTTCAGAGTTTAAAACATCCGGCCACAATACATTTTTTGTAACTTAAATAAAGATGAAATAATATACAATGACGACTATGCAGTGCTGATTATTCAATATCTGTACCCGAATGGTGAAGGCCTGAGAACTCATTCATTCATTTTCTTTTCGGTTTAGTCCCCTTATTAATCCGGGGCCGCCACAGCGGAATGAACCGCCAACTTATCCAGTAAGTTTTTACGCAGCGGATGCCCTTCCAGCTGTAACCCATCTCTGGGAAACATCCACACAAAGGAAACCCACGCGAACTGACCCAGCAGAGGCTCGAACCAGCGACCTTCTTGCTGTGAGGCGATCGTGCTAACGTTACTGAACCACCATGAAGCCCTACTTTGAATATTCAGTCTGAAAATGCATACATTAGCACTATTTATTGGCTGTGAGCATTGATGTACTCTGATAGTCATTGGCTGCTTATATGATTTCCCCATCTATAATCTGCAAAGAATACTTTTCTGAAATGACAGTATTAAGGAGAAAGAATGAGCATGCAAATATAAACCCAACATTACATCAATAATAACAATTAGGCATCTTATTATAAAGATAGTATAAAGAAACACAATCCTTATTCTGTTTGTAAAGGGCATCAAGTTTCAAGCAAATCTCACCATTTTGTTTGGGATGCTCTTTCTTATCCAGCTGCTGAGGTGCCATGATGTCTCTGCTCCATTTTTCCAACGTTTCCATCTTCCACCCCCTGTAAACAATTGAGATAACATTGGCAATCACGTTGGAGTCTGAGCATAAGTGCTATTTACAGTGTGAGGCTTGCATATGCTGGTCAGATCAGATGTGTGACTGCAGTGAAGGGACAGACAGACACCCCCGCACTCTAGCATTCCAGGACTTCAGTCTGTTACACAGATATATGGCGTGATTTCACCATCAGACGCTCTTTTCCTGCTGTCGAGTGCAGGCGTGATTATATAAACGCGCATTGAACGGCTCGACTCAAATCAGCACTGCGTTAAATGAGCGTTTATGCCTCATCATATCTGTGTGTGTGTGTGTGTACAGCTTCAGCCAGATGGATGTGCGGTATGAGTGCATGCACGAGCCTCTAAACGCCAGAGTAATAAACACAATACACACATGCAGCACATGTAGAACATTTACGAGCGGAAAACATATTAAACATCAGATTGTTTTAAACAAACCCCAGCCATTCATCTTTGCAGCGCTCAGCTGAATGAGGCTCACGTGGACAATTGACGTCACGCAAGCGACGAGCTGCGACTCGTGGGAAATGTAGTTGAGTTGTTGCCGCAGAAGTGGGTTGACGATTAGCATGCTTAGCTGGAGCTTTAAAAATAAATGTATGTAAATGTATTAAAGTTAAAGCTTATTTTTGTAAGTAGGGGAATACTGGACAAATTAGCTTTAGCAATATAAAATGTGGTGACATTGTGGCTCAGGGGTTAGCACCATTGAGGGTAATGCGTTACTAAAGTAGATTACAGCAGGGGTGGCCAACCCTGTTCCTGGAGCGCCACGTTCCTGCAGATTTCAGTTGCTACCCAAATCAAACACCTGAACCAAATAAATAGGACCTGAACACCACGTGATTAGAGGCAGGTGTGTTTGATATGGGTTGCAACTGAAATCTGCAGGAAGATGGCCCTCCAGGAACAGG